CCCTACACGACGCTCTTCCGATCTCCCCAAAACCCCAAAACCCCATTATACCGAATAACTTGATTTTGTAAAAACTTAAATCATTAATACAGTTTGTGAGAATTTGAATAACTTCTGATTTCAAAAGCCTTATTCAGTTTATATTCACTATAGCCGTATAAATCCTTCTTTATACTGTCATTTCTATTTTGATATAACTTCTACCTTGACATTAGGTTCTCACAAAATGTTCTATTATGCTCATAATTGATTATTTTATCAATGCTTTCAGATCGCTCAGCCTTTTTACCATAGACCTAGCCGTTGCTCTATAGGTATTGCTTAATCTTTAAACCTCTAGTTTTGAAACTTTTGGCATCAGATGAAATGAAGTCTTGTTTGTTAATCTTGTTATTCACTTCAAAGCTTGAGGAATTCAACTTGCTAGTTAAATTACTAGCTGTACTTTGTTAATTATTGATTTTAGGAGTAGAATTATAGTCATTATTGATGTTCAAATTTCTCTAATAGTAGAGCACATCTTTGAATTACTCAATCGACACTTGACCTGTCTGACTTTTATCAAGATAGCTAAATATCCCTTGAATTTCATTTTCAAATAAGCAGTCTTGACCAAGTTCTCTAAGGCCTTTTAACCACTCTGCTGAGGTAAAGTAGCCTTTCTTACTTAGATCAAAGTACTGAAATGCTTGATGAAATGACTTGAATTTTTAGTCAAACATATGATGTATGTATTGTATCTTGCCACTTAAATTGGAGTCCAATTTATTTCGCTGCTTTATAGAGCCAATATATTTCTAATCTCTAGAATATGATCTATAGTAGGACGAGTCCTCAAGTCTTCCAATTAATGCATTTAGATTCTGGACATTCAAAGTGTCTCCTTAGTTCATGAGTTTTTCTATCAGATTATAAGCTATATCGTTTTTAATGATTTTTTTCATTTTGTTGAGGAGTTAATCTGAGTTCTAAACGTAATGGTTTTTGTTTTATTGAGTCAGCAAGTATTATCTCAGGTGGTACAACCTTCTTAGATCAAATTTCGGAACTTAATCCTTAAAACACCCAACAGTATAGCTGAGCTTATTTTGCATTTGCTTTTCAATCGTTGAAACGTCAGAGTTATACAGATTGTCGCTTGTATTGGAATCTCTGTTGTAGAATGAATGCTTGAATCCGTTACTACTCATCCAGAGATTTCTCTAACCCACATAGTGCTTTCCACTGCTCTTTGATCTTTTTGGCTCTGCTGATATACTGCATATTTGATCGTTCTTAGTGCTGAATGTCCCTTTTCCTGTATATTGATATTCAGGGTACTCAATCTGGTTCTTCCTGTAGAAATGCTCAATGAGGCTATCATTAGGGTGTTGAAAGCTCTCTAAATCGCTTCTCATCATATTCTGCTGCATCTTTCTATGATCCTACTTGGTTTGGTACTCAGATTTTTATAGATGCGCATATGATTTACTTTCAGGCACTTATCTACTGAGGCCATGCTATCAAGAGAGATCGATATTGTTGATTAGGTTTAGATTCTTAAAGACTACTTTGTAATTAACTTTGCCCTTGATAGAGCTGTTGTTCTGCATCCACTGTATATCAGTCTCATTAAGTTTCCTGCCTTCCTTCATATTCTGAAGCACATTCACGAATACCTTAGTGCTGACATAGCCATCCTTCTCTAAAACATACTATTTAGCTTTAGTTCTTACATTGATCAAGATCCTCACAGATCTCCCGAAACTTTTTTAACTTTGATTATGCTCTCACGACATCCTACTCTTAGCTCATTTGATTAAATAGTCTAATTATTAATATTTATATTGTTTTATTCATCAAATAATAAATGTTAATTCTTAATGTTTGCTTATGGGGTTTTGGGGTTTTGGGG